ATTTTTATTTTGCATATGTAAATATACAACATTTTTCTTCAAAAAGATGCAAATATGTATAACTTTTTCACTTTTACTTGAAATCTACTGCCAAATATTTCCAAATTAGTATCTTTTTCAGGCTTGCTTTCTTAACAGTGGCAGTATTCCTTAGGTCCCTATTAAAGGTGCAGTGAAACTGTCTTTCAGAACCTTTAAGTCTGTTGCCTTTGAGCTCCCTGCTTGTATGCAGTACAGTGCTTTCAGTGCTATAAAAATATGTCAAAATGCATATAAGAAAAATATTTGTATATATCAAAACAGATAAAAAAAAATTTCTACCAAAAGACATTGGAACCATTTAAGTGTCTATTTAATGTCACCAACAGAAAAGAACAATGCTGAAATTTGTAAATTTTCACAAAGGTCTTTATGAAAGTATTACTCTGGAGATGGAAACATGGGGTTTTTTTCAGCTCAAAATAATATCCCCAAATATCATCTGTGTTCTGTACTCTGAACAAGGGTAAAGAGTGCCATGCTTTGAAGCAGGTTTACAAAGCATGTGGCTGCTTTCAGAGCAGGGCAGAAGGTTTGATGTGGGTGCTGTAACTGAGTGGATGATGCCAATGCCTTTAAGCGTAAGATCAAAGGTAGATTCCCTGCATTTGTTGTCGTCTTTAGTGAAGAGAGATAAAAATGCAGACCCTGAGCTGTCTCTGCATGTTTACAAAGTTTTCACAATGATGACCTCCATCAGCTCTATCCAGACATGCTTACAAATAAGGAAACTATTCCCTTGTTCAGGTTTCTGCATAAGCACTAGACCTATTCTGTACAGGAGCATACAAAGGATTTGAGGTATGTGTTTTGTTTGCTGAAGGACTTACAGATTTGTAAATATAGTAAATGTACATCAAAAGAGAAAATGTTGCTGTTAATAAAAGCATAACAATGATTAATAATATTATTAATAATATTAACTGTTAATAAATGTGTTAATAATTCAGCCTCTTAAGATAAGATGTGCTGCAACTCTTTATTAGTGGAAGCAGTGCCTTCTTCTTCTTCTATAGACTTTGCATTATTCTAGGCATGCACAGCCATCGGAGAGGATATTTTTGTACAGAAACACACTAAGCATGACTAATTTTCTATTATGCTACTTTACAAAAATATGTGATTTATAATCCCAAGTGTGCTTCTGACCTCCTTACAAGCAGAGGTAAGCATTAGTATTCTAGCTGCTTGGGCATTGTAATCCCTGTGTGAATGTGGTTCTTCATTCGTTAATGATCCCATTTTGCTATAAATAAATATAATAGACTTCTCCACCATAGTCTTGATTATAGAGTGGCCTAAATGTTTTACCTGCTGAAATACTACCAAACAGCAGAAAACAGATTTATTGAGAGGACACAGAATTCAACTGCGATTTAGAAAAAAATTGCTACTAAAGTGCTCCATGGGCTTACAAACAGTTACAGTTCTGTAAAGGCCAATACATCTTGGACTGACATTCCAGGAGATGCACATCAGTTCAGGCAGGATGATTTATATTCTGTAAAGTTAGGTTGAACAAACAGCAGGGCACATTTTTTTTTTTCAATTTAAGCCGCCTCTGTTGATAAGAATTCAATTGTAGAAGTGAATTACTTCATTCAGTATTAATGTTTAATGAAAGTCATACTTTGAATTTTTCCATAAAAAGGAAAAGAGAGGAGATTTGAACACCTTTGGGACTTCTGTATGTAACCTTTATTCATTTTTCAAAAAGTTAAGCCTTGTGTTTGCAGATTTAAAACACCTCTAGTCTGTGACAGAAATGCAAGATTGGTCAGATTGGCCTCACCAGCTCAGATATTTGGAATGACTACTACACTCTTAACTATCTTCCCTATTTTCAAGTTTTTAGCACATAACTGTCAATTGTCAGTCTCCTCTTTAGTCCAAGTACACAGAGTAGTTCCCTCTGAGGAGATGCCATAGCCCCATTAGCATTTCCTTTGGCATTGGCCTTTGGGCATGAGCACCACAACAGAGCCAACATTCTGACCTAGGTTAGGATTTTTTTTTGCAGAAGATACTAGGTAATTTCTTCTCATGTGCAACTATTCAGATTTGAATCAGTTAATAAGACTGGAATTAAGCCTAATTTACACAAGAGTTAGTGAAAGAATGTGACCCAGTCAGCTGACCAGTTTGTTAGCAACATATTTTAACCAAAACAGAAAGGGGGCAAAAGGACCAGAATAAATAAATAAAAAAATACCTCCTTTCTCAGCTCTAAGGGGATAGACTCAAAGTCCTGAGCAGCACTGACAGGATGTGCAGAGCTGTTTACATGGGCAAAGTCAGTGGTCTGCTGAACATGACTTAACGGGACTTTCAGGATGCTACTCGGAGGGCTGTGAGTATGCATTGCTCTTTGATATTCAACTGCAGCACCAGGACACTTCTCCAAGTACAAGTTCTCATTGTGTATCTAGCCAAACAGGGGAATGATCTGTTTTGGGTGGCAATGCCCCAGATGACCTAAGGGAGGCTAAAAACTGTAAGTTAAAAACATGTAGAGCCCATGTTCTCATGCGTGCATGCCTGGCTGTTATGTACAAAACCATAAAAAGAGACATTTTGCAGACCAGTAACATCTGTTTCTAAGCACCAAGTGCTTCTCAGACCAAAGTACTTTGCTTTCAGTCCGTTCCTAAGCATTCCAATATAAAACTGAGAAATCTCTGACTTTCTTGATCAGAAGATGCCAATAGCTTTAATGTCTTGGGAAACTTATTTCATAGGATTTATATTGAGTCTGTTTTCATCATTTCATAAAAGCATATTCCAATGCAATGGCTTGTAATCATCACTAAGACTTCAGGCTGGTTAGTTCACTGTGATTGGATTAATACATCTTAGAGGCAGACTGACATGGTAGAGTGATTAGACCATCCTAACCATCCAGCAATCTTTGAAAGCCAAGTTACTCATCTGTAATTTTATCTCGTTAGGATAGCTTTATAAATTAGATTTTTTAAAAATAAAGTTCTTACTTGAGATGATTAAAATTTCTTTATTTGCCAAACTAGTATATTTTATAATTTTATTTTCATGGCTTCACTGCAAACATATTACGTTCTATTGCCACAGTGGAATGCATGCAGGGAAGAAATTGGCTTCCTATGCTAAGAAGGTGAAGAAGGTGTCTGAAATGACAGCATAAAAAATTACACTCCACAATTATTTATTTCATTATTTTGTTGCCTGTGAAATGGCCAAGCATGATATGGCCTGCTGCTGAGTGACTGGGATGTATTCCAGAATTTTAAAATAATTTTATTGCTTCCGTGTAGAATATTTGTTTTTACACTGGGACATAGTATTGATACTTTAAGATGTTTTGGCGGAATATACGTGTCTGTGTACCTAAGCTGTATTGAAATTGTATGACAATTAAGCACCTGACCATCTTGGGTGCTTTTGAAATCTCAGGAAACACCATGCTGAGATTTTAAGTGCCTAAATTCCCTTTAAAATAAAACTTGATGTGTTCGTTTGTTGAAATTTAAGGAGAAGCATGCAAGTGATGGTTTGAGGACTTCACCAAGCTGTCTACGCTTGCACTGTCTTATGTTCCAGAATGTATCAGAAAAAATGAAGTTTAGTAAGTACATACTTTAGCACGGACATCTGCAATTGGACATCTGCATTTTTCTTGGAAGCACTGCAGACCAGTTGCTGGAGACCTAAATTGTGAAATTTATGTAATCTTGTCTTTCCGGAAAGCATTTTGTTTGAAAAATGTAACTGCCCTTCTGATCAGTCAATAGAGTAATCAAACTAGCAATACACAGTCATGCTCTTTATATATATGACATTCCAAAATGTTTGGGTTTGCTATATTATAGTGCTCTTGCTTTGGTTAAATACAAGAAAGTTTGCTCACTCATTTAATAGCACTTGGGTATCCCAAGTGATGCAGTATAGGGTTGCAAAACAGAAATACTCCAGGATAGTTCTCTGAAAACTGTCAAGTATTAACGCCTGTAGTTTTTTTGTCATGAAAAGTCTCTCAAACTCAGGCACATCATTCATTTTGTTTTATTTAAAATGTCTGACACGTGCAGCTGTGATGCATCACATTCTAAGGACCAGGTCAGGAAGCCTAGCAAGCTGGTTTTTTCTTGAAATGAGGGACTGCGTAATACTATTCGTGATTGCTGTTTCTTCAATAAAGTTTTCAGTCTTCCAATTTATTTACTTTCAATTTCAGTTTCAGTTCATTTAACCTTCAGAAAACATTTGTGCTGTCTACTGCTTACAAAAGGAAGCCTCTAGCAGCCCCTTGCTGCATTTATCTCATGCTGTGGAGCTATGATGTCTGCAGTAATGAATGTATCCGTTTGAAATTGAAGTGATTAAGTTCTTGTTGAAATGTCTTCCAGAACAAAACATTAGCTTTTGCTTTCAAAGGGCAGATATTGCAGCAGATAGCACTTAAACCTGTCCAAGGACAAAGTGTTATGTTTAAACATCACTTTTCTGCTTGCCTCGGTGAAACAGCAAGGATATCTGCATTCAAGCACTTTCATTTCTTAATACGGCAAAACAAGTATCTCTACAGAATTGAAAGTAGCATGATTGTTACTGTTGCCTTATTTTTAAAAACAGCCCACCTATCCTACCAACTTGCTGTGATTTATTCATTACAACTTGTAAATCTGAAAGATACAACAAAGAAAAAAATTAGGCAGGCATTGATATTTACATGCTAGACTTCTGTCTTCAGAGGCACTGGTTCAGCTAGCTGTACATTTCTGAGCTAAATGTGAATTTGACCATCTTGCAGTAATCTCTGGTTGTCCAGCTCAGGAATTCATATAGATTTGACACTGATAGTGTAATCTTGAAAGTGTGTTGCAATTGTGGCTGTTGCTTTTCAAAGCTGTTGTATATCAGTGCAGCCATATAGATCCTTATTGTGCCAACTACCTGGGAAAAAGCTCAAGGCCAAAAGGTGGAGCATGGAGAAGATCTGGGTTTCCTGCCCAGATCAGGTAGACACAAAGATTACTTGTCCATCTGTGTGTATGCAGAGCACCACAGAGGTCCTTCTACCACGCTGGAGGTCCTGATGCATTGCACAGCACTTTCTAAGTACTAGTGCAATAAGATAATAATGACAATTGAATCAAATAATTAATAATAACTTGTCAATCTAGTGACTAAATGTCTTAATCTGAAGCTAATAGGCATCCCTAGTAACTATGCCAATACATCCCAAGTATGCATCTCTTCCATACATTTTTTATTCTCAGAAGTCCGTATAGACATTAAGAAACTAATAATATGTATTAACAAATGTGAAAATAAAGAGCAAATCCCAAATTGTCTGATTTTTCTATTTGATCCATGCCTTGATTTCAAAGAGTGTGTTTTAAGATGCCTCTATTATGAAATATATTCTGCATGTATACCACAGGCATTTATCAACATTGTTTTACACTTTCATTAATTTTAGTGACTTACAAATTGCAATAATATTATTTTTTTCCATGAGTGGAATTTGTAAGCAAAATTTTAAAAACATATGGGATATAAAAATTAGTCACCTGGCAATAAGTGCTAATTAATACTTTTCTTTTGAATTCTCTATTTCAGATTTGTGATAAAGAATGGCATTACTACGTTGTCAATGTTGAGTTTCCTGTTGTTACCTTATACATGGATGGAACAACATATGAACCCTACCTTGTGACCAACGACTGGCCTATCCACCCTTCGCACATCGCCATGCAGCTGACAGTTGGTGCTTGTTGGCAAGGTAAGATGACAGCAAATAGTAGACAGTAGAATTATGAATTCAGACCAAAAGAGATTTTATTTGTCTTTCTGATTGTATAGTAAATAAATTACTAAAGGGTTGATGGTATAAAATCAGAGGTAAATACACATTTAATAATGCATCAAGTCCAAGGATAAAACAGATGGGACATGAACAGACCTTGCATTTCCGTCACCTAAAGAAGCGTTTAATACATATTGTGTATTCAGTGTGAAAGATTGTCTTCTTTATCTTTTGTATGCACTTATTTTGTTTCCCTAGTTTTCCAACTTTAAGCAAACTATCTAAATACTACTCTAAAGAACTCCAGTTATCTCCTTTCAGTCTCTGCCTCAAATTTCTTTCACAACTCGTGGCCCAGCTCTGCACTCTTCACATTGGATGTACGTCACCAGTAACTCCACTGATGTACTCAGTTCACCCTGTTATAGACCAGATGTCTGGTCTTTATGCCACTGTTTCTTTTTCTGTTTTCTGCCTCACACCTGAAGCACTCCTCTTTTTCTGCTCATCTGCTCTTGTAAAGTTGTCTCCATTACCCTTCTGTGTTGATTTTCTATTTATGCCCTGTGTCTTGTTTTCATTTAAGACAAAGATGAAGTGAAACCAAACTGTATAAATAGGAAAAAATGCTTTAACACAGGTCGTGTTTCTTCCCCACTCTTTAATGTTGACTCATATTCTCTGTTATTACCTTGTTTGCCAGTTTGATCTCTGCTCGTTTACAATATCTTATCTGCCAAATTTAGACATCTTATGCATGGCAGAGCTGTTCAGTGTAAATAATATTAGAAGCAAATCCAGCTGTTAGATTATGAACACCTTGGGCTAAAGATCTGGTCTTCACTTTGATGACAACATACAGAATAAAGCCACAGTAATCCAAAAACCAAGATTTGTTAAGTTTTGAATATTGATCACTGAGATAACTATTATGATACCTAATCAGCATGACACTAATCCCATATATTTGTGAAAGTGTAGACTGATTCTTGTCTGACTGCTCTTTGCACGTGTAGGCTTCCATTTCTATAGGATGATCTTAAGGTGTATTGGAATTTTTCTTTTATGTTAAATATACAATAGAATACATTTAATTTTACTCTAAGGTGCTAGTAGTCTAAGGGAACATTTTTCCTTTTTTATCTAAAAATAATTAGTGAAATACCTGTCAGACTCTTCAGAAACCAGAATTTCAGTTTAACCAGTAGTTTACTGAGGTGGATAGTTGCCAGATACCAACTTGGTTTACATGAATTTTCTTTTAGTTTGAACTTTTTTTTTTTTTCCTTATGTAGTTTTGGTGCAGTATTTTTAAATCAAAATTCCAGACTTAACAAATGCAGATGTAACTTGTGAATGGAATAAATTCAGTTCTTTCCAGACATGAGAAAGTGCCATAGAGACTGTGAATAATCATTGAGTATTGCCTTCTGAAAAATCAGCATGCCTCAGTAGCCATGCTAGAGAGATTGTATTTTAATCCCTTACTTTATGTATATTTCTAGTTTTATCTGCATAGATCTACATAAGTATTTTCATGCATAATGTGTATTACTTCTGTCTCTCATACACTGTGTTTTTATCACTCTCTAATAGCAATCCTCGGGGTTTTTTTTCCCCTAAACATCTCAGTATGGGTAGGAATCCAATCCCCCCAGCTCTCATCTGTATCTCATGTTAATCATAATGCAGGCACCAAGTTCTGAGAACTGTGGAGTGGTGACTTTATCTGTGGAACATTCACTGTACAAGCAAAAGCTATGCCAATTTTGCCACACTGCTGCATCTGTGGGTTTCATTGACCTCCAAGGCAGGTGAATACAATAGGAATAGTCTTGTTTCATTTGCAGCTTTGTCTCTATGTCAAATTGTTAAGAGAAAGAATTAAGGTAAAATTTCTCAAACAGGCTCACAATAAATTTAGACCACAGATTATATTTAACACTTAAGCTGTTAAATAGAAAGTTACAATTGTTTTTGAACTTTTTTTAGTTTTGCCTTGAATAATTTTGTGGCTTAATGAACTGAATAACCATTCAGGATAGGATTCTTATTCCTTTTTGGTGAAACACTTGATTAAAACTACTGAAATTTTACCTGTTGCTGCTGTCAATATTTACTGCAAGATGATGTTATTGCTATTTCAATAGTGTGAGAATTGGAGCTCATCAAGCAAATTTTCCAACTCATTAAAATGTCAAGATTTAGCTTAGATAGTGTGCTACAGATTTGGATAAACTATCTATCATGTGTCAGGCAAAAAAGGGGAACTTTTAACAGTTACATGAGACAAGATTCCAATATATTGCTTTTGGCAAAGCTTATCCTTTGCTAAGCTTGCTTTTATTTTAAATGAATTTTGAAAGTCACTTTGTTAATAAGCTTCAGCACTATTTCAGTTTGTCGAATTGTAATTGTTCAAAATATAAAACCAATCAATTCTGTTCAAAATTATAATTTTCAAAATCCATGTATTTCAATAAAAGATCTAATTTGTTGGATCTAACAAACAAAGAATCTGACTATAAGTAGTTTCACTGAAACTGTTAACTGGGTCTACTTAAGATAATGCGCTTTGGCCAGTTGTCTAAACCTTCATGTTTTCAAACCGTTAGAAAATGCTTTACAACCATCTACGATTTATTTTGGTAAAAATATGCCGTGATTCTGATGTCATAAGCCATTCAGGGGAGTCCTTGTTAAGAGGATATGAGGAGTTTCTAGCTGTGGTTTGCTCAGACTATTTCCTTCTCTTTTCATCAAAGTGCTGGCAGAATAGGAACACAAGCTCTGACCTCTTCCTTCAGAAAGGACAAGACTTTTTTTTCTGTCTTTACTAAACCATTTTACAGTTCTGAGTCCACAGTATCCATTTATCAAAGTCAAATTATTTGAAAAACAATCTCCACTCAGACAACTAAATGAACCAGAAGAAATAACATTCTTTTTTCTTACCACACCAATTCTGATTTGCTCACAGCAAAAAGTAAGTCATCATGACTGTGGGGCAGCTTAAGAACTGGTGTGGAGCAGGTGCATTTAGAGGGCAAAGTAAAAAATCAAGAACACAGATTACGGTAATTTGCTTTGTTAGCACTAATAGGAAAATCTGCTACTGCTCTGAAGGATTTACCCTTTCATATATGACAGTTTCCAGTTCTGGTCTCGAAACTGGGAATTGTTCCGCTGTTTTTCTAGGAACCTGAGAATCCTCCAGGTTATAAGACAAGTGACACTTTCAGCCCTGGTCTTCTCATCACTTACACTGGTACTTGTCCTGAGGTCACGTAGCAAGTGTCACGCTTGCATCTCCTTCTTATCTTCTCAGACCTATGTCATGCAGGAGTCTCAAGCACAGAAAGAAAATTATTTTATTTGAGATTAATATTTGCTATTATTAATATTTCAACCCCAGAGTAACTATTTTCTGACATTCATAGCCTTGTTTATGACAGCCATTATGAAAAGCTAGGTTAGTTTTAATTTCTGCCTTCAGCTGTTCACATTAAATATAAGAGCAGTTTAAGTTCAGTGCTCTTCTCCTGAATCTAACAGAAAAATGAACCAAGTGTGCAATCTCACAGGCTTACATGATAAATTTAAACTTTAGTCTATGATGTGCTCACTGTCCCATTTGCATCAAACCTTTTTTTTTTTTTTGACATCAACATTCCAGCTGTAATGGACATGTCTAGCCTCCATCTTTACCCTTGCCTTGGCAGTGTAAAAAGCATGCCTGTTTTGTTTGTTCCTGATTTTATGCAATATTTATTTTAAATTATGTGAGTTGAGTGCTAAGATGCTCCTAAAAGGAGGAAAAATTAGCCTTTTGCTGAACATCAGAGTCTTGTCTGTGGGGCAAGAGGGTATTGGAGGCAGAAGTTAGGGTCTCAGTGTGTGGATGGCAGCCTGCAGATAGGCAGAGAGTGAAGATGGCTGAAAGAGCAGAGAGCCAAGCTTTAAATGTGATAGAAGAGAACCTTCCTAGGGTCTGTCAGGCACTGGGTAAAGTGTACTGCAACCCAGGAAGTCACTCAATTCCCTAAAACCAAGTCTGGGCGATAGTTTCCAGCTTTAATGACACATTTGGGCATGAGGAAAGCTGTATAAAAAAAAATCTTTTTTACATTTTGTTCTAGCAAAATCAATATGACTTTTCTCTGCTTAAAACTAAGTATTCTGGATGTTACTCTAGTATAATCTCCCATTTTTGATTTAAAAACCTTGTTTCTTTATTCAGGGAGCTCATTAAAGGGAAGTCTAGGCAGAGCTGCCTCATTGATTTAGGGACCTATCACAATGGTTAACATAGAGCTAATTGGTTTTTATTTTGTGTGGTTCACATTTAATACTGCTGCACTTTAGGAAAGGTAGTTTATTTGCAGATGGGAGTTAAAGCATTATCTTTAGGCTAAATTGTTTGTGTTGATTCAGTTACGTGTGACCCAAGAGTAGTGACAGTTGGAGACAGAAACTTCTCAAACTGTTGCAGCCTAGCTCCAACAGAATGCCACTCTTCATGCATGGCAAATCCTAACTTCTTAGCTGTGATTTCAGTGACACTAGGCCTGGAAAAAGGTGATACTGACTACAGAGCTAAGCAAATGGGGCTCTTAGTGAACTGAGGGCAGAAATGAACAGTTTGGAGTGTAGTACAGCTGCTTCTGAAATCAGGCCTTTACATACCCTGGTAAAGTTTGACAGGCTTCTCTGCAGGTACTTAGGGTTAAGGATATCACTTGATTTTAACTTATTTAAAAGGCCTTTTTTGTTCACATCAGTGTCTCACAGATGACTGTCAAGGGTGGATTTTGATGTAGGTGGGGGTACTTAGGTCCAAAGTGCTGTTCTATCTCTAATGGTGAAGGAATTACTCTTTCTCAAGGCCATCTAAAGGACAAAATTTACTTGCTTGTGTAATGTTCTTCCCAGAACAAAAGAGACACCAAAGAGAACGTGGGAAATGTGACCCTGGC